TTAGTATTACTAAATGTTCTTCAGAATCTCTTTAAGCCATGTCTGCATAAGAAGTAAAAAGACATTGCATTGTCCACTTCTGTGAATGGATACTTCTTTCTAAAGATAAACAGAATGTGCTTATACATGCCCTCCCTAATGTGTACCAACTACTGTTTCTTTTAGGGTTTTATAATCAGTTTATTTATTTATTTTTTGCTTTTTGGGTCACACCTGGTGATGCACAGGGGTTACTCCTGGCTCTGCACTCAGGAGTCACTCCCGGCGGTGCTCAGGGGACCATATGGGATGCTGGGAATCGAACCCAGGTCGACCGCATGCAACGCAAATGCCCTACCCGCTGTGCTATCTCCCCAGTCCCTATAATCAGTTTAAAGGGGCTTCATAATTAAGTAAAAGACAAAATCATCATTTCTAGAACTGGATCCCAAATTTTAGTAGTACTGTAGCACTGTCCTCCCGTTGTTCATCAATTCGCTCAAGTTGGTATCAGTAATGTCTCCATTGTGAGACTTGTTGCTACTGTTTTTGGCATATCGAATATGTCATGGGGTACTTACCAAGCTTTGCTGTGCAGGTGGGATACTTTCGGTAGCTTCCTGGGCTCTCCGAGATGCGATGTGAAAAAATGAGCATTGAAATAGAAGGCATAAAACATTCTCCTGTGTTTTCTATTGACATATAAGTAACATAGCCCCCCCCCCCTTTTGCCAATGTATACTATTATTAATATTTGTGCAGGGACAGGAGGTGCATGAACTTAATCAGAATGGAACAACCTGTGTTGTCAACATGGGTTCAAATGGTAAAATCATAATAAATGAAACCCCTAAGGAAAGTGTGCTGTCCGTATTCTTAGAGCCCCAGTTCAAAACTGCAAGATGTGTTCCATCTTGTTTTTAAAGAGTTATACCGTTAGTCTTCAAAGTTCTGTGATCAGCATTAATCATAATTGACATAACTTTCATTTCCGTGTAAAGTTCTTCTTTACAAAACGAAGTAATGTGACCTGCAACACCAAAGAATATGTATTTTGGGTTTTACATTGTATATCAGGAAGTCAAATTCAAGGCAGTAATCAAAAGTAAGTGTATTTTCTCTGCTGTATCCCCTTCAATGTAGTTAATTGTTCAATTAGGTCTGTTGCTATTGGTATTCTTTAATAACTGTATTTTTTCAGGCAGGAGCCTGAATTTCATATTGCTGTAAGGAACCCAGATGTGGGTAATAAAGATCAAGAAAGTTGCATGTCCAAAAAGAAACAGAAAATACAAATCCTTTAGATTCTACCTTCAAGAAAAAAAAATGATAAGGGCAGATTTCAGAGCCTTTTGGTATATAGTCTAATAATTTTTTTTAATGGCAGTTGAATCGACTGGTACAAATAAGAAAGACAAATGTGCTAACTTAGAAGGTTTTTTTAAAAAACACCAGAGCTACCAATCTAATGGAATGTATGAAGGTAGCAATTTATTTAGTTTGGTTAATTACTACTTTGCTCATTGGCATTATACCTGCTCTTCTAGGTCAGTGGGAATTGCACATTAAAGTGGTCTACTGATTATTTTTTTTAATTTATGAAATGTGCATCATTAAAATCATAATCAGTTTAAACTAAAGGTCATCTGAGAAGGGTTTATGCTATATTTCATTATACCTAAAACTTATATGATTTTATTATAAAATGTTACTTCGGGAAATAATCTCTGGGGTATTGGTTGGCTCAAAATGAAGAAATTGGAAATTTGCATTCTAAAAATCTATGGTCAGTTTTATGAAATATCTTTATCAAACATTCCTCTAGAATTCAAATGCCATATTAAAAATAAAATTAAAGAGCAATGTGCCAGAACAATAGTGCAGCCGATAAGGTAATTACCTAGCAAGTGACTGACCCAGGGTTTTATCCTCAGTATCCCATAAGATGCCCAACTAACCTGGGTTTGATCCTCAGCATCCCATAAAATCCCTGAGCTCACCAGGAATGAACCCAGGAGTAAGCCTTGAGCACCACTGTGTTGACTTAAATAAAAAACAAGCATGAAAGAATATATGTTATGACGTTGATCATTGTAGACTTGCTAAATCAAACTTTGTGGAAGAAATAATTATGAAATTTAAGCTAATTTGTCTAATTCTTTGAACTTCCAGTGTCATAAGTAAACAAAGCATCTGAATTCAAATTACTTTTCTTGCTATGCCATTGGTCTATAATGTTGTAGAAGTTGCAGGTGTAGGATAACATTCTTTTGTCCTTCCTCAGGTAGCTTAGGTTTGTCAGGTCACACCCATCTAAGAACACTGAACTTGTATTGTAAGCAATGTCCTTTCTGTGTGGACACAGGAAGACAGTTAATATTATGCTTTGTAACTTGGGAGTTGATTGACTCCGAATAATATTTACTCCTGGGCATCTGATTTCTTGACTCAGTTGCCCTTAGTTCCTAGCACCCCAAAAGCAAGGTCCCGACGAGGGACTGAATGGACCCAGGGCAAGCAGTGAGCTACCCTGGCATCGAAATGGGCCAGGCCAAAGAGTCACGATACTCAACTATAAGTTGAGGGCATGATCATGGACAAATGCTGTCATGATCCAAAAGTAAGTAACGACGAGACTAGGACCCTGCTGGAGCTAGGAAGATTAACCTGGCCTGAGGACTGCGAAATGTATAGTGAGATGTTCTCAGGAAGAACCAAACTAAATTTATATCTCTTACTGTGCTCATACAGAATGACATCGCTAGAAATATTAGAAGTAGATTTATTACAACTATTTAAGTAGATTACGAACTGAAGGAAGAACACACCCTTGTTGGGATCCCACCCTTGGGTGGATCTCCTAGTAATCTGAAGTAATCTCTGTAGATGAGATTTTATCCTTGAGTTAATCTCCTGGAGGAGTGGTCTTACCTCTCTTTGTTGATTCGTCAGTATTCGACCCACCTTTATGTCACCGCCTTATGTGACTGCTATAAAAACTAAGACATAAGCTCGGAAAAGGGGTCAGAAGTGAGAGAGCTCGGGCTCCAGAGATCCAGAGTGAGAGCCAGAAGGAGAGAGCTTCCAAGACTGGGGCCCAGGAGAGAAGGAGGCAGAGAAAGACAGGAGTGAAGAGGATTGGAATAAACTACTATTGATATAGACTGGCCTGGTCCCCGTTTCTTCTTCCGTCTGCCCTTGGCCAATAGTCGTTTCGATCCAGGCCACACACAGCGACTCAAGAGCACCGAACGCAGGCGGTGAGACAGTGCTGTCCAGTGAGCCCGTGAACATACAACCTTTGTCGTGATAAAGATTTTACAGCAGGAATACAGATTCACACCTCAGTAAATGTCCATTACACAGTGCACCCAAAATAAAGAGCCACCACTATCAAATATCAGTCACCAGTGTCAAAGTGAATGATCTTATTTTTTAACATCTAAAAAACAGCAATCTAGGGACTGGAGCGATAGCATAGCAGGTAGGCCGTTTGCCTCGCATGCGACCAACCAGGGTTTGATTCCCAGCATCCCATACAGTCCCCTGAACACTGCCAAGAGTAATTCCTGAGTGCATGAGCCAGGAATAAAGGAATCACCCCATCACCCCTGTGACTTGCCGGGTGTGACCCAAAAACCAAAAAAAAAAAAACCAAAAAACTACAATCTTGCACTTAAAGAAGTTAAAGAAAAAATAATACATAAAGAGACAAGTTCGTAACTCTACTCATTATGATGTGGTTGGAGCCTAAACTCCATTTAATTGCATTACACCTCGATGAATGTTCATTCCACACAGCACCCACCACGGACAGTAAGTGACCACTATCCAATGCCACTCACTCACAGCTCTCAAGGTGAATGATCTTAGTTTTTCACATGTGAAAAACACAAAAATCTTGTACCTAAGGAAGTTAAAGAAATATAATGCATCAACAGACCAGTTTGTAATTATACTCATCAAAGTGGATTTGGTCTTGGATCCTAAACTCCATTTAATTGCATTACTGTAGCGAAGAGGGAGGCCTTGTCATCAGGACTGTGGTAATAAATGGTTATGTGGCATGCTTATTGTCAGAACCCCTCCAGAGACCCTGCTGAGGCAAACCTCAGCTGACCCCATCAACAGGCAGGTGGCAGTTGATCAATTTAAAACGAAGTTACTGAGAAAAATAATTTCAATTACCAGAGTTTTGCTGCTTACAGTGTAGACAGGAGAGAGCAGAGGTCATCTGTCTTTTTGAATTTGCTTGCCAAATAGTATTTATTTCTTGCTCTTAAAAGGAATAGGGAAAGAGGCACCCCTGGCAAAATTTCAAAGGACTTTGATCTCCAAATGTCCATCAATTCTGGTACTTCAGTGCAAAGAAGTAATACGTTGAGGTAGGAGAAAAGGCTAGGGGTTCCCTTGGAATATTGAATTCTCTGCTCTGATGAGAATGTGCATTTTTGTTTGTCCTATTCAACTCTTGGCTTGTTCATTGGCTTAACAGGAACCTAGCATCAAAGAAAAGAGCTGGAATCTGGGGTGTTTAATAGAAAGGTACTACAAACTAGTAACACTTTGATCAAGATAGTAATACTACAAGATAGTAATAACTTCGCTCCTCAGCATGACCAAGGGGAATGTCTAGGAGAGATCCCTTTGGTCTGAATATACATACTCAGACAAACCATTACATCCTATGCTTGGGTTTTCAAAAATCTTATTTTAAAATTTTAGAAGTGTTGTGCACCATATTGTTTTCTTAGGGCAAAACTAGCCAACTAATCAACTGATGTATTTTGATCTTGCATTGATGTGCTAATGTGTAATGCTTCTCTTAAAAAATGCCTCTAATGCTTTTTGGAAAGAAGAGCATATATTAAAACCTTAACCTAGTTACAAGGCTTACCTTCTTGTAGCTTTTATCTGCTTTCAGTCCCCCTGTAAGCAATAAACTGGAATCTATGTAAACTGGCAGTCTTTTCATTATTGGGCAGCTAAAAGAGTTTTTTTTTTTTGTATATCTGTATCAGCACACAGTCCAGGAAGAGTCTGTGACCATGATGACAGAAGACATGCCTTTGGAAGTTTCTTATGTGCCTTCTACTTTACTGACTGAGATCGCGCATGTCTCACAAACCCTATCTGAATTGGAAGAACAACTTAATGCTCCTGATCTCTGTGCTAAAGAGTTTCAAGATCTCTTTAAGCAAGAGGAGTCACTGAAGGTAAAAACAAAGTTTTTTTCTTTCTTTTTTTTTACTTTGTAAGATGATTGTTTTAATAGTTTTGGTACCAAACCACTTGGCTTAAATGTATGCCATGAAGGCCATTCAATTTGCACATGGAAAGCCTATTTTAAAATAAAATTGTAATTTGATGTTGTAAATTGTAGATAGAATTCTGAAAATAATTTATTGTTTGGTAAGTTCTAGAAATCAGGATATAAAGGCAACTAGAAGGGCTATTTATATATTTAATGGTTAGACTTTATAATTCAAATAATATACACACAAGTATACAACAGTTACATATGAATTGAGGGAGTAAAGGACTCAAAAATAGTTATGATGTAGAGGTCTTTTTCCCATTTAGTATATACTTTTATCTTCATAAAAGGGGAAATTACATGAGATTTTAAATTATATACATTTATATATATATATATCATGCATCATATTAAAATTATGTATTGTAATATTGTATATAACTATATATGCTATATGGTGCATATTTTGGTTTAATATATCCTACATCTGAATATATAGTTTTTATTTAGTTTCAGTTTAAATACTACACAATATGAATTATGAATGATAGCAAACTATTTAGGAAATATCTTAAATGTAGCAAGAATAATGAATGCCTTACTATAATTTTTTATCTTGCATTTTACATTCAAAATTAAATATTATAGGTTCATTAGTACTTCTGAATGCAAATATTATGTTTGTAGGCATAATATAAGTTTTCTTTCAACAGCTATTATCTAAAAGAGTCTGCGTTCTAGATAATTTCTTGGAACTTATACCATATCACACATTTGTCTTCATAAGTATGTATTTAAGCTATTTGTTCTGTAAATAAGAGTGGCAGAAGCTGGGTAACTTGAGTTTACTAATTTTTTTTAACTCTGTCTCTTTTGAGAGGGGTTGGGGAACAAACCTAGAGATTCTCAGCTCACTTGTGGCTCTGTGCTCAGGGATCACTCATGACAGGGCTCAGCAAACCACACAAGGTCCCAAGGATTGTACCCAAGTTGGTTGTGTGCAAGGAAAGCCTTAGCTGCTGTGTTGTTTCTCTGACCTGACTTTGACATCTTATATCAAATAAGCTATAAAATTATATACTAAAATAAGAGCTGCATGGATCCATGAACATACTTCATACATTTTGTTACTATGCTATTTTATTACTCTCTTTGATGAAAAAGTCACAAATCTTGCCAGAACAATGAAGAAATGAAGTCCTGTCAATTGATAAAGGTGCCAGCAGACTTGCCACTATTTGCTTGAATTCATTTCTTCTGACGGTGCAGTTTATAAGTTCACCATTGTCATTCTACATGGAAATCATTGCCAGTGAGCTAGAATTCATTTATTCCTTTCCATGTTCATGAACATATGGGTCACAGCAAGCAGTCACCCCAAACTTGCCAACTGAGTAGTTTGTCTTCAGACCTCTTAATCTGGCACATTTTAAACGATGGCCCCTGGCTATGTTCATAACAAAGCTTTTGTTCATTCAGACATATTTAGCAATATTACAACTGACACTAATTTGAGGCTATTGATTATTAGGGTACATGAAAGGGTACCATTCAGTTAAATTTAGCTGAATTCTTGAATCCTCACTTGATGCAGTTATAGTCATAATTCCAACTCACTCCACAGCACTTGTAGCAGGCAAATGGGCTTCCTACCTTCGTAGAATTCTTCAAGGGGGATAGTCTTGATCCGTCTTTTCAATGAATATGTATATCCTCTTAAAGGCATTCATCATTGTCATTATCCAGTAGTAAAAATAGAAAAGCAGCACATAAATTGTACAGCTGCTGGTTGGGAAGGCTTGAAATTAAATTGTGGTTGATTTTATCTCTGACATATTTGCATGAATCAAATTACAGAACTGTAGTAGGTATCACTGTGGTTTAACATACAGATTTCTCGAAAGTATGATATAATGAAAATAATGTATAATACAGTAAAATAATTACTTTCTCAACCAAATGTAGCTAATTTAGTATATCCGATTTCCATAGTTTTTTTTGGATGATGGGCTTTTGGGGCCACTCCTGGTAGTGCTCAGGGCTTACTCTGTCTTCAGGCATCACTTCTGGTAGGACTGGGGGACCATATGGAGTGCCAGGTATCACATCCAGTTGGCTGTTTGCAAGACAAGCACCCTACCCATGGTACTATACTTCCAGCTTTTCTGTAAATTATTGAATTTAAAAAGTATATTATTTTATCAGTACTAAGCAGACAAAACCTATTTACATGTGGAGATATATGTTTAGAAGTAATACACTAAGTTATCAAGTGAGGTATTTCTTGAAACATACAAATGATCAATATTTCTTATGCTCAAGGCAATGGCAATACTGTAAGTCAGTTGATTATTTCATTTATATTGTAAACACGATAGTGTCATTAGTTTGAAAGAATTTAAATTTGTCAGACATTCAATCACCATTAGGAGTCACTTGCACTTTATTTGTAAGGAAACAAAATTTTCAAAAAATTCATAAAATATTTTACTTTTTAAGTTAAATAACATCGCCATAATGTTTGCCATGAAAACGCAAACATAAGAAAAGCAGGAGGATAATTGGAGGTAGCAAGAGGGGGCAAAGTCAAGCCGCTCTCCCTTGGGTATTGCATTTCAGTTATGAATAGTGAATGAGTTCTAGATATATGTTCTATGGCATTATACCTGTGAGTGATAGTAATCTGCATACACTCATAATATTGCTGATGGTCTGGTTATGTAGTTGCTCAGAGAGTGAGTATAACATGTACAACTCCCAGTTTTCATCCCCACATCATATAAAGAAAATAAAACAGTAGCTACACATTATAACCTAAGCCTATATATTTAATAAATTGTGAGGATAATTTGGTATCATATTTTCTTGTAATAATAAAAATGGACAATATAGAAAGAATAAAGTGTAGGCTTAGCAAATTTTACCATCACATTTTAAAATTTCTTTTACTCTTGGTAAAACTATTCATATTTTTGAAACCTTGTCTTAGAAGAATAAATGATTCATTTAAGAGGCTCAGTAGAATTCATTTCTCTGAAGGCCTTGATATATTTGGTTTTATTGTGAATTTCTGTTCTATTGGTATGTGATATTCCTGCAGGCTTGTCCACACCTCCTCATACTGAATATTTTCTCACTCTGAAGAAATAATGCTAACTATAAGTTCTTGGTACTTTGTCTTAGGGCTCTCTTTAGTCACCATAACAAAATATGTCAGGGAATTGCCTCCTTGAAATGCCAGGCAAACCTCAACCAATGACCGGTGGCTACTGGTGGATAAATTTCACTGCTGTTTCAGTGGTGTGCTCCATGTTCTGCACTTTTACCGGAAATTGGCTAGACAAAATGAGACCTCTTGGATACACTAACCCTTCCTCATCTAGCATTCTTTAGTAGCTTCTTCTACTCCTCCCACTCCCTGACCAGCTTTGGGGGATTATTACCATGTAGATTACTTGCATAGGCAATCTGGTCTGAGAATCTATTTGTAGGAGAACATGATATAGCATAATTTTCAAAGAAATAATAGCAGCTATACTATTTAGTTGATGCATGTGAACAGAAATCTGGCCAAATGCTCCATGTGACTTGGTGTGGCATTTTCCAGTGACTGCTGCTACACTCACAGAATGCCTTAATTTCTCCTTAGGTCATGAGGAGAACCATAAGAACATGGCTTAAAATAAGGATGGAAACTAAATTTATCATTTGCACTAATAATAACCAAATTTGAAACAAATTTTGGAACACTTAGTCATATAAAGATATTAATCCATTTAGTACTCCCCACCCCCAACTCTCTGAAGTATGTAAAGCAAGTATCCTCATTTTAGAGAGGATTAAAGTGAGAAATAAAAAGGTACTTGACAAAGTTGACAAAACTAGTATTGGTGGAGAAGGATTTGAAGCCAAGCAGATACATGTTGATACTATTCTATGCCATCTTTAATGAGCTGTTTCTCAGTTACTTTGCTTAAAACAACAAGGGTAAATACTGGGTAAATCATGGGCTAGTCCGGAGGGCTCTCATGTCCAGTTCATAGGAAAACATTCTGCATGCGTAATATCACTGAATCCATTCTGGTTTAAAATAAGTCCTATGAAAGATGGGAGGAATGAAATAAAAAAGAGAAAATTCAAGCGGGAAGAAGGAAGAAAAACAGTTCAGCATAAACGTTCAAATATCTTGAACTAGAGAGATTATATAGGAGATAAGGTACTACTCACTTTCAAGCAGCCAAACCAGGTTGAGTCCTGGTACTGCATATAGTGCCTTGAGTAACTTCAGGCATGGTCCCTGAGCATAGAACTAAGAGAAAGCCTGAAGCATAGCTGAGTGTGGGCCAAAACAACACCAGAAATGAAGGAACAGAAAAATTATGTAAATGAGTAAATGATGTCCTTAAAATATAAACAAAACAATAAAATGACAGGAAGAGGAAGCACAGATAAGGAGTATAGAAAATGGGTTAAACATAGTATAATAAATGGAAAAAATAAAATTAAAACAACAAAGTAATTGTGTATTTATCAAATTGGCAAAAGTAAATTTGTCTTCACACTACTGATAAAAAGAAAAGAAGGCAGCCCTCATTCAACCTCAGTGGTCCTGCGGAGAGATTGTTGTTGACTGAAAAATCTAGACTGTATTATGCAAAGTCACTTAATCTTTCTGACTGGTTCAGCTTTCATATTGGCTCTGTGATAAAAGGAATTGTTAGGGGAAATTGTTAATCAAAGGAGTGAAGTGGCATTAATTCAAAAATATGTATTACATCCTTACTGTGTTACAGACATTACTGTAAGTACTTAAAACAGTGAACAAAACTGAGGGACCATGCCCTCACATGGCTTTTATTATTGGATTGGGAGACAATTCTAAATAAAACAAATCATCATGCCATAGTGTGTATTTAAAGATGATGAATATTATACAGAAGAGCAATTAGGGTTGGGTCA